AGAATACAGTTTACTTCCCTTAAAACTATTCACACCTGTAGGCTGAATTGATCCAGTATTTTTTGTTTCTCCTAGGCTCATGGAACTGATAAAAGTTGGTATCTGTGTCTTCATTTTATTCAAGTCTAAGGGTTTGAGTTGTTCGACCAGAATGCCAAGAAGTCTGGGTTCATTTCTGTTCTCTGCTAACAGACGCATGAGCTCATAATTTCCATTGCCATGACAGGGCTATGATCACCTTTATGATGCTTGTCAGTCGGTCCTGCTGAGTCTTATGCACTTCACATAATAATTAAACTTTCCCTGGAGAAGGAACTGGAATCCACGTGTTTTGCCTCCCACTCTAAGCATCAGACTACAGAGTCAGTGTCTCTCCCACTCAGTGAATACGCAAATGTTTTGCGAGTGGCACACGGTCAGCAGGAAGTGGTTCCACATCGTATCTGTGAGAAAGGCTGATCATTTTTATTTAGGTTTGTTGTGAATAAAACAAAAAATATTAAGGAACATCTACCAAGTGTCTGTGTATGGGCCAGAGCTGTAAAAGCCTATAGGACCATGCCGAGTAATAAGGTATGGTGCAGAAATACCCAAGTTAGTGCCAGCCTGACGTGATGATGTCCATTATGAACTGTACGGAGACACTGGCTTGGTCCCCTGGGCAAAATAAATGTTAGAATGCTTTGCCCAGTCTTCCTATCCCAACTACTCACTAACAGAGTGTAGGGGAGCTTAATGATGGACGCGGCACTACGCAGCTGCGTGGCACCTTCGGAGCGGCCGCGGTTCTGCCTGGCGCAGTCGTCTCAGTGCCGCGCTGCCCTGTGCCGTGCTCATCCACTCGTGTTTGTGCTGCCATCCGCTGATTTCGAGCTTTTCTGTTCATAGGCCATTAAAATTCACTTCCAGTTTAAACCAGGCATAAGAAGCGTCATTCCATGAATGCTGTTGTTTTGCTAGACCAGAGAAGTAGGGAAGGAGGCAGACATTTTCATGTGCTATTTAGATTTTTAAATGACACTATCCATTTTACATTTTCAGATAATTGCAGTATTGCATTTCAGGAGATGTTAGTTCATTACAAATAGATCTTGGCTATGTTGAGATTTCCAAACATCACATTATATCTGTAAATAACCACTCGGACGTGTGTGTGCATCCAAGGCCATCTGAATTCTGTCTGAACTGAGCCTCAGCAGGCAGAAGGAGGAAAACCCTGTTCTCCTGCAGCACGTCACCCCACAGCTCCCCTTCAGCGGAGCCCAGACGTGAGCACCAGGCGGGGCAGCGGACATGCTCCTCTCCTTTTTGCCGTGTCCCTCGCAGGAGCCCCATCTGCTAGGCATGAGTAACACACGCAGCCGCTTTCCCTGGAAAATATTGTCATCCTCCCACTCCCACCCTCCCCTTTTTATGTAACAAGCTAGTGGCTAAGGGTTTTGGTCGAGACCAGGGAAATAGAAGGATATTCATAAAACTACATTTATTTGATAAGAACACCTGTAATGCAGGTATCTTCTGGCCTGAGGACTAAGCTAGACCATTTATTCCCTCTAACTTGCTGATGTTCCCCTCAAGACTTTTTCCTTCTTAGCGGGGTATGCTGGAGAGGGGGTGCAGAGGCTTCTGCTCCCCAGCATTGCCACTGGGGTGGGGTGGGGGACCTAATCCTGCCTGGAGATCATGAGGCTGAACCTCCCTGGCTGGGGAAGGGATGAAGCCAGCTGCCCCTTGTCCAGCATCAGCCCACTGTTGCCTCCCTGCCTACTCAGAGCAGCCGTGGTGCTTGAGGAGAGGAAGGGGTAGGGTGGGAAGAAAGAGGCCAAGTACTTAGGTACATGTGGGGTTTCATACTGGCTTGCTCTGGACTGCTCACACACCACGTAGCTTTCTGGGTCACCCTTGGTTGCATCGTCTCTCCACTTTGTATACAGCAAGCGCAGGCATCCGCCGTAGCGTGCGGTAGCCCGCTGTGGCCCGGTGCCTGCATCCTGGCTAGTGCAGTGCCTGGTGTAGACACCGTGGTGGTTTTGTCCACAATCCAAGCATGTGCATCCACATGCATGCTCACGAATTCAAATGGAAGCGTTGAAATCTGGCAGTCAAGCTCATGATTTACTTCTTAATCAAAAGGTGTGTGGGCACAACTCAGCAGTCATCACTTCCATTTTATTTTTCTTTTTTCATTTTCTTGGATTTCAGATACGACCTTTATCCACTTCTCAGCTGTTGGTTTTCTTTTTGGTGCAGTACTTTCTATGTGCTTTTATAAGGCTCTGGGCATATATAGCACTTTGTTTCTTTTGCCTTTGTTTTGGAATTCCTGAGGCTGCCTTAAACTTTCCATTTCTTTAATTATCTTCATGGAATTTAGTGATTAATTATTCTGAAGTAAGTTTGCTTGTATAAAAGAATTAGCATCAGAAAAATCATGGCTGCTGCTGTCTGTTCTCCTTAATTTAGGAGAAAATTAACTTGAAAGCCATTTGTGCAAGGTGTTGCTAAGAATTTTTATACGACATGCATTGACATAGGTATGTTTTTTTCATGCTATACAAATGTAGTATCAGGAGCTCTGTTCAGAAAAAGAGAACGCTTTGTCTCTGTGGCTGTGGCAGTACACGTTAATAATTTACAAATCTGTTTTTATGAACAAAACAGTGCCACTGATACCAAAGAGAAGTAAACAAAGCAAAATTGAATAGGATATTAAAATCATACTGTACTCAGTTGTGACAGTATGTGAGCCTCACTCTTCCTGCT